CAGTAGGGAACCGATTATCCGGAACGATCGGGACCATCGCTATTCCGGATAACTGATTTTTCCGGTTTTCTGAATCTCTACAAAAAGCCGTTTTTTTTATTGTTAAACCCAACTAAAAAAAAATTTTTTTTGGGAAATAATCTTAAAAAGAAGAAAAAACGATGAAGTAATACACTAATGATTATTTCCAAAATGATGGTAAGGTAAACATCTTTCAAAAAAGAAAGAAATTTCCTAAAATCTTATGAGGAAAAAAAATTTTTATTTAAAAAACTGCGGGAAAATTTATCGAATTTCGTTCCGGTTTTTTGGTTTTCCGGTTTTCTGATTTCCGGATAACGGGTTCTGTACTGTACTAATAACATATAATAATTGAAATATCCATGAGAAGGTAACTTAAAATTATACATACATGACAGAAATGGGCGGTTGTTGATTTCCACCAGTGAATGTTGACAATCACGCAGTCACTTTGGTAAATGTCCGAAATATATACTAGGTATAGTTAAATGCCACTGCCCGATATACATTTGTCCGGCATGCTCTACATCAATGTTTTTTTTACAGTTCAGTGCCTTTGCCCGGTATACATTTGCTAGGTATGCCCTATATCAGTGTTTTTTCTGGTTCAGTGCCACTGCCCGGTATATATTTGCTCCGTATGCCCTACATCAATGTTTTTTTTTAAGGTTCAGTTCCATTACCCGGCATACATTGGAGATAAGTGCAAGGGCGCCGGCAGAATAATGTAAAAGGGGGTGCAACCCTCTAACAAACTAACCCCCCCCCCCAAAAAAAAATTTACAAATATTCTGTTCTTACATTTTGTTTTGTTATTACAATAAACTTTCATCTGCTAATTTCTTTCAAAATACATTTCTTCATTGTTGACAAGATATTTAAAAAAAAGTACGAATTTCTTGTACTTGCAAATTTTGCCACAAGAAACTTTATTTATGGCGCTGGCATAGCTACTGCTCTTACCGAAATTCATCACTGAAGCTACAAAGTGGTACGAAATGTGGTGGAATAGAGAAAATTCTTATGAATCCCTCGAATACATCGATTTAGTAATTGAGACCACACCGTTTTATCCAGCTGTAGCGGAGGCAATCAAAATTGGCCGAACTCTTCCAGCTACTACGTGCGCTATTGAACGCACTTTTAGTACAATGCGACGCATCAAAACATGGAATCGGTCTACAATGTCTCACGAGAAATTAAGTAGTTTGTGCATGCTCAATGTGCATAAGAAAAGAATCAAAGATGACTCAGATTTCATTGAAAAAGTTATAAACAGATTAGGACAACAAACAAGGCTCATTACAATTCTTGTTTGATTAAACAATTTTTTAATTATTATGTATCAATAATTACTTAATTATTTGTTTTTGAATAAAATTATTTTTAAGAAAAAAAAATTTATAACAAAATTTTTTTCTGTATTTCCTTAATTGTTTAAAAAAAGGACGGGGGGGGGTGCAAGTGCACCTCCTTGCACCCCCCTGCCGGCGCCCTTGGATAAGTGAGAGAAATAATCATCCTAGATGCGCAAACGATGAGTTTGCAATTATATCAATTTACAAATAATGGAATTTAAAAGAGGTATTCCCTCTCCCCCCCCCCCCCCNCCCCCTCCCCGATATTTATTTGTGGAGCGGTACGTAACTTTTTAGAACTCCTTCATTCTTCAAATAGAAAAAACAAAAAGAAAAAGGGAATGAAAACCCTCCTAACTTTTTCATCTATCCAGTACCCGGGATTGGAACTTTTTCCTTATGAATGTTGAAAGATTATTGTATAAACGATTAATATACGATTCAATGTCATATTCAAAGCTATTATTTTCTTACTCATCCCTCTATGCTGCTGGACTCGCTGCTTTTTCTAGCGTAAACAGTTTTACATGCTTTAACACATTATTATTTTTTTTTTGCTTAACCTTCCGTTAGACGCGCGCACCTCACAGGTGCATTCCTACTGCAGTTCCACCTTCTTTACCGTCAATAGATTTTTCCGGGGGTCGAACCTAATGTTATGTTCCTTACTTCGGATTACTCAAATGTCCGGGTAAAACCGACCTTAGAACATGCCGATGGAGAGTTGGAACCGCTCAAATCACCCCTCTGGTGCAGCGCGACCATTGACGCAAGTATTATGGATATAATATTTTTATGAATTAAATATATATATTTTATCTCATTTTCTGTCCTACTCAACGTAGCAGGTATAAATGGTCAAGTTATATGCACAGAAAATGGTTATGGAGTGAAAAACCGCAGAACCTTCTTGCGTCAATTGGCTGAACATCTTGTGATGGAGGAAGAGATCCGACGCGGGAGCAAGAAAAATTTATCTTCGGTACTTCGCTAAATAAGTTTTTTGATATTTATCTCTCTAAAGAGTCTTAAATTGGTAACAGTTAACTATTTAAACTAGACTAAATTTCATTTGGCTTTCAAAAAATCAGAAACACCTCATAGGTGCAACGCGATTAACCATGTCGGAAACAAGTGCGCGACTAGCGGAAGGTTAAATAAGTAACTTAATCTTAATGAAGGCATAAAATATTATAAAATTTTAGTTTGTTTTTTTAATAATTTTTATTCGCTTTAGAAACCTTTTTGTCAATAGACCCTAAAAAGGTACTCCGTACTTTTAAGTTTGCAATCACCTGTGATGAGGATTAATTTCATAGTTTTTATCACTTATTTATGTAAATATAGGATATCTATTTATTTAAAATCATGAGCGAAATGCTATTTAAAAAAAATGTTAAAAAGAAAAATAATGAGCAAATTGCTATAAACACAGAAAAATAGACAAAATATATAGTGAATGAAAAAGTAAAAATGATATAAATAAATAAACAGCATAGATCAACTATAAATTTTATTTTATAGTGGTATTCGTTCATCGAATTCTACCACAGCTAAAACTCTAGAAGGGGAGTAATGTGGCATAACTACCACTATAAAAATTAAATACCAAATCACTAGTATACAAGACATATTAACTTGATTCTATCAAGAGGTACTTTTTGATAGATGAAGGTTGACTTAGTTGATAATAATCCCCTCACGTTAAAGTAGTGAAGTAGTCACTACATTTCGAAAGTAGTTTGTCGTCACTATATTTGTAATAAAAGTAGTTGTAATTAACTACATTTATACCAAATTATTCGTAATTGTAGTAAGCTACAAAAATAATGTAGTTTTCTAGACTACTTCTCCGGAGTCGCTTTTTCGATAAACTGAGGTTCCTTAATTTGTTATATGACGCACTTTAAGATAATAAAAGCTATTTATTGTATTTTTTTGAACAAGATGATGAATAGTCAATTCTAAAGACGTAAGATATTTGAGACAGCAACACGACAATTTTTTGATTGGAGGAAGAGGCCTCTTTGAAAAACAAAATGCCTTTTCACCCGGTCATTTAAACAAAAGAATAATTGCGCAGCTGCACGATATTTTTGTTTATTTATTCAGTTCCATAAATTAGGAATGCAATTTTAGAATCCGCTTTCGGGTATAATAAACGGTGCGACAGATATGTATTTTCACGGGAACTGTTTTGAAAGCAGCGTTTTATTTACTTTTTTTTAATGTTTTGTTTGTATTTTTTCAATAAATACCTTATTTACTGAAATTAGAAATCTATTTGATAAAATAATTAACGATAATTATTGAAAAAAAATTATAAATTATTACTGAACAATATTCTAATGCTACAAAATCCTGCTCAAAACTGAAAATTAATAAAGCTAAACTAATTTCTTTTTTTAAATTTATCATTATATTTTGCTCTGCCCGGTGGCTTTATGTTATTAGATTAAGAAAACACGTACTTCCATAGTTCATTCAATCCAAATAAAGATTAACTGTATTCGGTATCATCTATCAGAATGCTACTGCTCGAAGCAACTTATGATATTTAAAATTTATCACAATCAAGTTCCTGTACTTATATCAGAAACTATTTCCTCAGTTTCTATCATAATAATATCCACTATTGATGCAGCTGTAATTGTCGCCATATCGACTCATAAAATATTTTGTAACTTTTTAAGAGTATGAAGTAAATGCATAAGCCTAATAAAATGGGCGCCTATTTTTGAGTGTTTGAATTATGCCGAATGTTATTTCTTTATTAATATATTTTTGAAGTGAATCAAGCTTCTTATCAGGTACATTGGAGTATATTTGGTACAGATTAAAATTGTACCACTTTCCATAATGCCAGTAGTACCTATTAACCTACTATCAAAATGAAGCATTATTGGTGTTAGTAATAGTAAGACGACTTTTTACAGTTCTCCGTAACATTATTCTATTTCTCCATTCATTTTGTTTTTTACTTCGTAGCTTTTTTTAAAATTTTTAATAGTATCTAGTATTACCAAAATTAATTAGGCATCATTGACGTCAATAATAGTTTGCCCATATTTTACGCTTTCTTAAACGAATCAGTATCATTTGTCAATTAATTTTTCCTTTTAGTACATAGCTTATAATTTTGCTTCAACTAGTAAATATTAACAAAATTTATTATTATTGCTTCAATAATATTGGCGTTTTTTTTACGTTTGTCTTTGATGAGTTAGTACTGTAGTGTATCTGCCACTACTAAATTACAATTACCATTCACTACAGTACCATATCTCTATTAATTTTGATTTTTAGTACAATATTTATTTATTTTTTATTACAATTACCGTTGATTTTAAATTATTTAGTTTTACAATTACACGTTTTTTAAATATAACCCTAAACAAAATAAACACGCGTTTTCAAGTAACCATAAAAATACTAATTTCAATCAAACGTAGTCCACCTTAAAGCTCTGGATGCGTAGATTAAGTAGTCACGACGCCATCTTGGTGNCATAATATTAATATCTAATTTGGAATGCGTTCAGAAATGTACTAAAATAGCGTCGATGTAATGTACAGAGCAAGAAAATCGTCATTGAAATTTCGAATTAAATTTTTACTGTTTAAGAAAGATTGTCAATTTTTTTCTCCGTAGCACAGGGCCCCTGAACGTGGCGGGACCCCTCGGCAGTTGCCTACAGTGCCTAATGGATAAAACGGCCCTGTTAATATTAATTTTTTTTTTCTCTCTGAAATGATATGTTTTATTTTTATTCTATTCAGTGAAAATAATACCTTAGCTAAAAGCTAAAACTTTCTCATTTCGTCTTTCATGATCTGCTATAATTTCTTTTTTCTTAACTCTTTGAAATTTTCTGCAGTAGGTTTTTTATGAGGTTCAAAGAGCGATATGATTTGGGAATTTAAGTCATTATGGACTTTAATATTTCAATGTTCAAAGAAAAAACAATTTCTCCCATTATTTCAAATCTCTTCCTTCTTAATCGATACCAATTGTTATTTGGTCTTCTATAATAAACAAGTAATATAAACAACATTACAGTCAATTCCTAATTCGGTCAATAAAGAAAATTTTATCTTTGTCACTTTTTAATGTATAATTACATTTTTTCTCTCCTATACAAAACTAAAATTAATTAATTAAATTTAATTAATGGATTATTATTTAGAAAAAATACTGTATTAACATCAAGTATCATCCACAAGTCTTAGAAAAATGTATTTGAGCTTGAGTGGAGGAATAAAGAGTATTTTATTAACGATTGACAATTTGAACAAGATACATACATATATCGCTCATGGGCTACAATAGCGGCACAACTCAAAAAATCATGCTTTGAGATAAGTGGGTTTAAACTTTTCATTGCTAAAGAAAATGCGTAAGAAATTTTTTAGTTTTGCTTAAACGGAGATTGCCTTCAAGTTGAAATATAAATTGTGGTTGTATTTACACCTGTTCTTAGTCCAAAACACGTGATTTTTGAGATTCGCTACTATTGCAGCCCATGAGCGATATATAGGGAGAGTGGGAACTAATTGCAGGAATTGGTATCAGCAGAGCCGGATTATACCTTTCGTAGGCCCTAGGCATAGCCGTTTTTGGGCTCTCCCTTCCTTCCCTCTTTTCAAAATATATGCTAAAATTTTCTTGAATATTTTTTTAACATTTTTATTAATATGGATTTTAATTTACAAATTTGTTTATCGAACTTTATCTGCAATACCGACATACTGCCGATATTGCAGTTGATATCGATAATACCATTATGATTAGTTCGATCGATAACTATGTAAACACTTCACGTCAACAATACAACAACAAACCAGCAAAGAAAACAGTGAAATTGATAGTGAGATTAATTACAAGAAATATTTATACAGTAGAGAACCAATTATCTGGGATGCTCGGGACCATCGCTATCCCGGATGTCTGAATTTCCCAGTTTTCTGGATCGACCAAAAAGTGTCATTAATCGATGTTTTATCGAACCCGAATTACAAGGAAATTACACAAAAATTTGTCAGAATCTGAGATTAAACTAAAAGCGCAAAATTTGGTGAAAATTTACTCATCCGATTTAGAGGAAAACTTTGTAGATGAATTTTTACTATTTTCAAATTTGTATGAACATAAATCTGCACAAGAAATGTTGAAGGCTCAAATTAAAGATAAACTTGTGAATACTTTTCCTAACGTTCACATTGCATTAAGAATATATTTGTCGATTCTTGGATCAAATGCAGAAGGAGAAAGATCTTTCTCCAGATTAAAATTGATAAAAAATTATTTGCGTTCAACAATGAATCAAGATCGTTTGGCATCGCTCGCACTTATGTCTATTGAATACGACATTTTGCGTAGTTTGGAATTCGACAGCATAATACAAGATTTCGTTGAATCCAAAAATCGCAAAAAAGTAATATATTAGATCAGAAGATTCTGCAAAATAATTTATTACCGAAAAATATTACATTTTTATTTGTATCTTCATAATTTTGTGCAAAATACACTTGTTGTTTTTAAAGCTAAATTATTTTTGTCAACAAATTTTTTTCTCCCAAGTTTTTCGTAGGCCCCTGAATTTCGTTGGCACGTGCCTAGTGTGCCTATAGGTTAATGCGGCCCTGGGCCCCGGCAGACAACTAAAAAAGTATAAATTCGGTGACGTGGTCCACACGTGCTATCACGTAATGTTCATTATTGAATTTATATGACACAGTGAATATAAAATAATTAAATGTGCACAATAAACTATTTTTTGTTGTTCAAATAGAGCTATAAGTTATAAATTATCACTGATGTTATTTTTAAAATGCATGAAAAACTGAATCGCTGATAGTAAAATTTAAAACAATGACTCATGCTTAAACAATCAGAAAATTCTATATGATTTTTTGCTCATCCCTATTTAATGAATGAATCAATATTTAAAAAAAAAAACTGTATTAACATAAAGTGAGATCCACTACAAGTTAAAAAAAATGTATTTGAAGTTGAGTGGAGGAATAAAGAGTATTTTATTAACGATTGACAATTTGAACAAGATATAGGCAGAATAACTGAACTAATAGTAGGAATACAAAAATTACTTAAACTTTAAGTCAATTAGTTGAATTTAAAATGAAATGTCAATTAAAATAAAATTTTAATTACAATCAAATAACAAAATTTAAAAATATTTTAGAATTGCTGTTTCATTTTTAAAATATACTAAATTAAATAATGATGTTTAGATAATGATACTGAATGTGTTTATCAATTAAATATAAAACACTACTTTTCCATTTCACCGGTGCAAGTAAATTCAGATATTTCATTTATTTATTTTTATGTTTTTTTTCATATGTTTTTTTCTTATGTTAATTTTTTTAAATAGCTGTAACCTAAAACATTAACAAAAAAAATTAGTTTAATTTATTTGCCTTTGCATTTGCGAATTAATCACCTGCACCAGCGAAAAGGAGAAGTTCTTATGAAACATTTCATAAGCATTAAACCAACAAACTCAGCATTAATTATTTTCATAAAAATTGCACATTTTTTTAAAAACACAATAATCTTGTCTTTAATTGTTTTATCTTATCAATATTACAAAAATAAGAGTTAAAGCTATTTAATTTATATAGATTCACTATGATTGAAGTATATTATTCAAGTATTTATAATATTGTATGATAATTTTATTTTAATAAATAACTCTGGATATTTCAAAAATAAATTTATTTATCAATTGCGTAAAGTAAAACAATCCAACTGCGATTTATATAAAATGAAAAAATAAATATATATTTTACTGAATTAGTAGAAAGATATTCAAATTGTATTCAATTTGATTCTTTAATAATTTTATATTTTATTAATAAGTAATAATGCTAATAACAAATCTTTAATGAGGAAAATATTAACCATAATGTGTAGACACATTATTGTTTTATAAAATAAAACAAAGCGATTCAAATTTTCAATATGGAAATTTTTTAAAAAACTAAATGGGCAAAATTCCACAGAAGCAAACAAAATAACTTACGCTCGAATTATGTAAAAAAAAATCTATTGATAAATAAATGAATAAATTGTAATATGTTTTCTTGAAAATTTCGATATTGTGATTTTTCTTTAAATGTTTTTTTTTGTATTAATTGTTTTCTAAAGATATAAAACATTTTTTTTACTTATAATTTCGTTATAATTTTTTCTTTTAAATTTTTGTTTCTTAAATTTTTTTCCAAAGGTTTTGAATGAATGTCTCTAATCGCAGGTGTCATTTGATTCGAAAATATATCTGCTAATTATTTCTTCTGCTTATTTTTACAGACACGTTTTGAAAAAAGAAATTCTAGAATCATGCAAATAAATGAGACTTACCGTTACTGTTGAGGTGTTACTCTACAAAAACCCCGGCACTACCTTTTTAAAATCTGCTTTGTAGAACTTCCTTTGAATTTGATTTATCTGTTAAGCATTGAGCAATGCGTGCGAAGAGGAGAAATTAATTGAGAAATAAGGAGAGAGTCATTTGTTTACTAATGAAGGATGGGGCTACGTAATTGCCCACATTTTTCCTCCTTTCATTGTAAATCCACTTAATTTTGAAATAACTCTTTTTGACTACAGCTTTGTTTACAATTGAGCTCTTTTAATCCAAACGCTATTCAAGCGGTAAATAACGCGACATGTTTTCGCAAATCATGACGATTATGTAAAGTATTTCACTCTTTATTTACATAGAAAATAAATTTGAAAGAGTAGCAGTGATAAACAAAATTTTAAGTTCGAATAATTAAAAAAAAAATATGTGTATTTCAAGTTTTTATTTTATTTTAAACAACGTGAAAATAAATAGATTTATTTTTCTTATACAAATATCAATATATTCTGAAATAAACGTATGGATGAAGAACATGGCAGATAAATGAATAAATCATCAACTGTTGCACATTGTTTGGACCTTGGACCAACATTAAATTTTAATAAGCCAAGATACTTTCCGTTCTTGACTCAATAGATGTCATGCTTTATAGGAATATCAATTCTTTTGTAAATGAACATGGCCCTTAAATACCACATGGAAATACATTCTGCCCCGAAATCAATCTTTAAGCCTCTACCCTTTTCTCGGCTACCGCGGCTACTGTTTTTTCGCTCTTGTTTATTTTACTTTTTTTTTTTGGTTGATAACTGTTTTCTATTTTTAACCTTCATGGAGCGTCATGTTGGGGCACCTAAAACATGTTGATTTTTGTCCACTTCAATGATGAAGGGTTTTTATTCTCGAGTATTAGGTGGAGTCGAGAACAGTCTTGTTATTAGATTTTAAGAAAACTTTTTAAACTAGAATAAACTTATTTAACCTTTTATCATAAAATCATATGTTTTATCATAATTAAATAAAATTATATATTAAAATATAATTTACTAAAAAACTTCTTTGTTAATTTATATAATTTTTACCATGTGCAAATCCATTGCATCCCCATCCGTGGCTTAAATTATGTGCAAAACAGGCAATTTATGTTTCTTTCTCTCTCTTTTTCTTCTTCTTTTTTTTCTTAAATAAAAGTTTATTTTCTAAAATTATTAATTGTAAACTTTTTTAAATTATCCAGTATAATATTACCTTGCGCACATCCATTTTCGGGCCCATCCTTGGTAACTAACAATTAAACGCTCTTCAGTTCTGAAGTAAGAACGCACTATAAAACGAAACCCCTCTATTCATGCTTCTGTTTTCTTATTTTGTAATCTGGCAATCTTCTTACGAAAATATTTTAAATGATTCTTGAAACATTTCCCGTTCATGTAAATACATTTGAATTCGCTCTTCGCTTTATAGATTTTGTTTTATGTTTTTTTCTGTTTTTCTTTTTATTTTATTTTCTGTTTTTACGTGATATTTTTACTTAATGTGTTCTATTTTATTTTTTTGAGTGCTTCTCACACTATTGTATCTATATATTTTCCTTGGCTATATTGATACAATGTTAGAAAGCACTCCCTTTTGTGTATATAATTGTGTGAGCTGATGAAAAGATTATATCTTTTTTTTCAGGATTTTTATTATTTTTATTATTATTTTTTTCTTTTTCCCTTTTTTTATTGTTCTGTAATTTTTTCCATGTTTTATCCACACATTGAATATTTACATTATATTGAATATTTTGAATATTATATTTACGCACATATTAAGCATGTTCTTCATTGTGTGTAATTTTGAAATTTAAAAGCAACTTGATTTACAATGTATTGATGCATCTAATTAAGAATGCATTGAATTTTTATGAATTCTTTTTTATATAGAAATGTTATATTCCGGCATTTTTCAACAGTTATTTCCAATCTTTTCTCAGTCTGTTTGTTCACATAACTTCAAGAGTTTGAAAAAAAAGCTTATTGCTTTATCATAAGAAATGTATAATTTTTTTTAAATTCAACTTTTGAAAGTTAGATTTAATTTGTTTACTCCACCCAAGTTTTACAATTCTAATTTAGATGAAATGTTTGTAATTTTATTATTATTATTACTTTGTTTCCATAATGAAACATTTTGTTTTTTACAAACCCAAAATGTTTTTGAAAGCTTGTTTATTCAATGTAATTTGCTTAAATTTTGTATTTTTTTTAAGACTGCACTGTAGCATAGCAATATCATTTATGACTTTGCCAACTTTGGATGAAAGTCTAGTTTAGAGGAAAAACATGCAAATAATATTTTGATATCACTCAAATTTTTAAGTTTAAAAACATGTTTTTTTTCTTTTTGTAGTTATCTCTCTTCGATTTATTTTGCCAAGCCCTAAAATATGATTTTTTTTATTTTTTTTAAAAGGAGGAAAAATTTTCTTACTCTACATAGTTATCTTACTTCGATTTATTTTGCCAAACCCTAAAATATGACGTATATTCATTTTTTAAAAAGGATGAAACATTTTTTTTCCTTTGCATAGCTATCTTAATTCGATTTATTTTGCCGAACTCTGAAAATATGACGTATTTGCATCTTTTTAGAAGGGATACAAATTGTCTTACTTTACTCAGTTATCGTACTTCGATTTATTTTCTCAAGCCCTAAAATACGACGTATTTTCAATTTTCTTTAAAAAGAGGAAAAATTTTCCCTAACAGTTTCTTGGTTTTCTACTTACCTTCCAAATTTCTGAAACATTTCTAAAATACTCGCTTTCAACACGCTTTTTTGTTATTGTTGAACTCTTCTCTTCTCTATTTTTGAACATTTTTATGAAAAGAAGATCATTAATTATTTTGAAAACATCAAATGAAAGGAATAAATAATGTCTTCATTGTTCTGTCAATAATAGTCTTAAAAGTTTGCTTGTTTTACGTCAGGCAGTTGAACTTACTAATCTGGAGGCAAAACTAGTTCTAGTTCTTTTTCTTTTTTGTGAATACTTGAAGGTTAAAATGAATAAATTAATAAAATTATGATTTTCGTTGAAAAGAATGGTGACAATGCTTAACAGGGAAAAAACATTTCTCTATTGTTGAATTTAGTTATTTTATTTTAAATTAAAAAAATTAGAAAGGAAATACAATTATATAAATGCCTGTCCTTTTTCCAATTTATTCAATATATTGCTTTAGAAAGAATTTATTATTTTTATTTTCTCTTTCGCTTTTTCCGCATTAAATCGAAGCATTAAATATTAATGGTCAACACTGGGGAACAAACTTTTTGTTGCCTTCATGGAAGTATTTAATCTTACCTAATTTGGGTGTGGTGATTTCCAATCTGAAACAAGCGTTGTTCCGAAAGCAACAGATTTTTTTCAAAATCATATTTTCAGTTTTGTTTACATGTGCAAGTTTGCAAGCAACGTATACGTTCTGTACAATTGTCTGCTACATTGAATATGACACTGAAGGCATAAAACACATGACTTGCGCATCCCTAGCTGAAATGTATTATCATCTTCTTTCTACCACGCCCTAAGTACCAGAGAAGTGGTGACACTTGTTAATCACTCGAGTGGATTTTAAAGAGTGCTGGTTCAGGTTATACGAACAAATTACGTAAAAATATGTAGCTTGTAGAGAGAAACCGATCGTAGAATTGAAATAAGCGATGCGGAAGTATCCAAGATCTGTTGAAGAGTCCCATGCATCAGAAAACAAAAAAGAAAATTGATCCTCCCAGTGTTATGGATGGTATTTTCAATATAAATGTAAACAGTAACATTCTCGAGCTCTTGACCTGGTCTACTTCCGGTTAGAAAGTATACAGCCGCTTACTACAGCTTATTCTGAGAGGCGATATTTTCCAACGGATAATTTTGTTTCTAATAAAATATATAAATTATATAATTTCTAAGGTTATATAATTTCTAAATTATATAATTCATGAGATATTAAAGATATTAAGTAATTCTTGTGAGTTTGAAGTGGAAATTTGTTTTAATTTAAAGATATGTTGTTTAGAAAGGTGACATGGTTGCTAGATTTTGAAAGAACACGCTTTTTGGGTAGTTTTGATTTGGCCTCTTTTTACTTTATTTTACTGTTTTTACTTTTTACTTACACCATTCTGTTTTTTCATGGTGCAAGCCTTACACCATCATACGTTAGTGTAAGCATATTGTTCGAGCAGCGAGATTAATAGATTGATATCATTGGGTTCAATTCAGTTTAAAAATTATCATTTGAGTTTAAATTTCGAAGTTTTTTATAGATTGTTAACAAGTAAGTAGTGTCTTAGAAAATTTTTTTCTTCTTCAAATAACAGGTGTTCAAATGACGATTCTTTTTTAAAACGCTGATAATAAATCAGGTAACAAATACACATGTACTACTCTAGAGAGCCTCAAAACACAATGATCACGTTGCAAGCCAAATGGCTTTAAAACACACCATAAACAGTAACCCGAAAAGCAGTCAAAAGCTTGCAGGCTCTCCCTAATGTAGAAAACACCATCCATTGACTCGATAAAATACAGGGTTAAAAAATTATTGTTGCTGTAAAAAACTGAAAACCTGTGCGACCTTTTTAACGGAACCCTAGAGTGACTGAAAGAGCTTTTGGGAAAACAAAATACCCTTTAACTCACCCATGACGTCGTGCTCATTTTTTTCTCTGAATTCTGTTCAAGCCTCGTGTATGGAAGCATGAACAGTTTTATAATATTTTTCACACTGATATAATTATTAATAGTGTGACCTGATGGGAAATAAATGTGTTCTTGAATTTATTTTAATAACTATTGAACTTGCTTTGTATTTTATGTGCAAAAAGTGAAGTAGCCAACAATGTAAAAAAATATTTTATTAAATAAGAAAGCGTTATCAACTTCCCCTGGTGTGCTTTACGTGGAAACTAAACTTGGGAAGAATGTAACAGAGGATGGCACACAACACAGAGAGTCCGCTGGTGATTTGGAGGAGGCCGTCATACTCTCCCATCACATCACGTGACAGACCTGAAAAAGATTATACTTTCAGTGATCTCTTTCTTATTAAATGTAAATGGGTGTGAAGATGCTATCACAATACCCTCCGCATTTCAACCTTTCGGGTCCTGCAGTGGAAGACGCGGTTCCCAGTTGAAGACCGAAGTCAGGCATCACTGACTGCAGTCAGAAAGCTGGTGGGTGACCACTTTGATCAGCCGTGGATACGCGGTATCGGTCATCGTTAAACTGTTCTACCGTAAAGTGCTCGATTTCGCGAGCAGGTAGTCTGGTTTCTAAAGCAGGGGAGCCATCCCCTCTGCACAGGATCGAAAATGCGATAGTATGTCTTCGGATCATCCTCTGGGATGTGTTCCAGACCGTCGCCAATAGCCCACTGTACAGCTCTGGTGCGACGCAAATAATGTACTTACCAAACTTTAGGCCATCCCTTAATTTTTTAAAATTTCTTTTCTCGTGGTGCTTTGCACCTAGCACTTTTTTAACTGTAACCGTTAACCATGCTCAACTCGAATACCCGGATCTATGCACATCCCACTGTTGATCGAGCTCGAAGCAGGTGAGCCGACTTGTCAAATTTTCTTTTCCGCATGCTCGAAAAGTATTTCTTTTAATATATTTTATCTATCCTAATTTGTTTGGACTTGCATTTCTGCAGTCCAATTAATTCGGGTAAGGTAATTAATTTTATATATATGCAAAAAGAGTTTTAATGATAAAACCTACCGCCCCTTGAGGATTCCTCTCCCAAGATTCGATGTTAAAATAAATTAGATCTCCATCTAGTCTTCTGCTATTTTCATTTCAATCAGGCATAGTTGTGCCGCGATGGCTCAGGGGATAGAGCGTTCGCCTTCCAATGAGGTGAACCGTGGTTCGATCCCGACGATTGTTGGTCGACACGAATTCCGCATCCGGCTTGCACCAACCACAGTGTTGACGTGAAATATCGTCAGTGGTAGATAGATCATGGGTTAGAGTCCCCTTGTACTTAGGCTAACCATGGGAGATTCTCGTGGTCTTCCTCTCCATGTAACGCAAATGCGGGTTAGTTCCATCAGAAAGTCATCCACGAAGGCAAAATTTCCCCCAATACTTGACCCAGAAATTCCCTTGTCTTCTGGTTTGGGTTCTAAATTACAAGACTATTGACTTGAACATTAGTAGTCTTAAACCCAAAAATTAGGTCGGCTGTTCAACGACGCTTATAATCAGACAAAGTTCATCTAAGTGTGGAAGAAGCAATCGACCAGGAATCCTGGAGTTAATAGCCTCTCGTGTTCTTTTGGGGAGTCACTGCCCCTTAAGAAGCGACAGCAACCCTACATTGTCCCCAAAACTTTAAACAAATTGCTCTAAAAATTTCTCAAAATTTAATTAAAAAATGCTCTCTCAAAAACTCTCTATCTATAAGCTCTATTAATATATCTCTATCTACCTAAAATCTCTGTATAATTTTTTTAAAAAATGCTCTAAAATCTCTAAAAAGCTAAGAATATAGATTTAAAAGGTCCAAAATCATCACAATCCGGGGCTTACTGGTGACCTTGTCAATGATATAATTACAGTCATGTTTTCTCTAACATACCTTAATCCATAGCGGACAAAAAATTGAAAATAAATTAAACCTATCCCAACTACTAAGAATTAAGGAAATATTTAATATTACGACGTTGTGTTCGAATTCACGTATAAATTATATTTATTATTTAATTATATTTATTATTTAATTATATTTTAGCCAAACTAGTTTGCATCAATAAATATTAAATCCCCGCACCAAACGAAAACGTTGAGCGAGTCCTTTTTTTTTTTTTTTTATCTAACACCCCAAACGGGACAATTTTCTTTGATCGCTTCCATTCTCTCCATCAGGTATTTTGTAAATGTTAAAGTGAGTGACCTAAATCAAGAGAATGTCGACTTTCACCGGTGAATGTCAACAATCATATAGGTCGAATTGGTGAATGTCCGTAATATTTGTTATATCCGATTTGATATTCATTTATTCGTTGATATTATTATATTTATTCTATATTTTATTATCTGCTGAGGATAGATTAGGAGAAACATCGGTGTTTGGAGTACCGGTTAAATGCGTACTGAACAGTGGCACTTGACCTAAAAAAAAATATCAGTGTAGAGCAGGGGTTGCCAAACTTTTTTGATCATCGACCCCTACAAAATTTTTCGATATCTCCATCGACCCCCATAAAAGTAATTTTATGTTAATTAAAATAAAACTCTATTAGATACTGTGTTTGTACATTTTTTTTATGATTTTGAACATTTATTAAAGTAATAGTACATAGGGTAACAATAGTTTTATGAAAAATATATTAATGTTGAAATATAAATACCTTATTATTTATGAAATAATCAGCAATTATAAGTAAGTAGAAATAATAAGTAAAGTAACTACGGATTTATTGCTTCTTAATGNAACCTACCACCCCTTGAGGATTCCTCTCCCAAGATTCGATGTTAAAATAAATTAGATCTCCATCTAGTCTTCTGCTATTTTCATTTCAATCAGGCATAGTTGTGCCGAGATGGCTCAGGGGATAGAGCGTTCGCCTTCCAATGAGGTGAACCGGGGTTCGATCCCGACGATGGTTGGTCGATACGAATTCCGCATCCGGCTTGCACCAACCACAGTGCTGGCGTGAAATATCGTCAGTGGTAGATATATCATGGGTTAGAGTCCCCTTGTACTTAGGCTAACCATGGGAGATTCTCGTGGTCTTCCTCTCCATGTAATGCAAATGCGGGTTAGTTCCATCAGAAAGTCATCCACGAAGGCAAAATTTCCCCCAATACTTAACCCAGAAATTCCCTTGTCTTCTGGTTTGGGTTCTACATTACAACACTGTTGAGTTGAACATTAGTAGTCTGAAACCCAGAAATTGGGTCGGCTGTTTAACGACGGTTATAATCAGGCAAAGTTCATCTAAGTGTGGAAGAAGCAATCAACCAGGAATCCTGGAGTTAATAGCCTCTCGTGTTCTTTTGGGGAGTCATTGCCCCTTAAGAAGCGACAGCAACGCTACATTGTCCCCAGAACTTTAAAAAAATTGCTCTAAAAATGTCTCAAAATTTAATTCAAAAAATGCTCTCTTAAAAACTCTCTATCTATAAACTCTATCAATACATCTCTGTATATAAAATAAATTTCTCTGTATAATTTTTTTAAAAAATTCTCTAGAATCACCAAAAAACTAAGAAAATAGCCTAAAAAAGTCCAAAATCATCACAATCCGGGGCTCACTGGTGACCTTGTCAATGATATAATTACAGTCATGTTTTCTCTAACATACCATAATCCATAGCGGACAAAAAGTCGAAAATAAATTAAACATATCCCAACTACTAAGAATTAAAGAAATATGTAATATTATGACGTTGTGTTTGAATTCGCTTATAAATTATATTTAGTTATTTGTTTTGAAGCCAAACTAGTTTGCATCAATAAATATTAAATCACCGCACCAAACGAAAACGTTGAGCGAGTCCTTTTTTATTTAACACCCCAAACGGGACAATTTTCGTTGATCGCTTCCATTCTCTCCATCAGGTATTTTGTAAATGTTAAAGTGAGTGACCGAAATCAAGAGAATGTCGACTTTCACCTGTGAATGTCAAAAATCACATAGTCACATGTCCGTAATATTTGTTATATCCGATTTGATAATTATTTATTCGTTGATAATGTATTCGATATTTTATTATCTGCTGAGGAGAGATTAAGAGAAACATCAGTGTTTGGAGTACCGGTTAAATGCATACTGAACAGTGGCACTTGACCTTAAAAAAACATCGGTGTAGAGTGTACCGGCAAATGTATACCTGGCAGTGGCGCTGAACCTTAAAAAAACATCAGCAAAGTGTATACCTTAACTATACCTATTATACATTTCGGACATTTACCAAAGCGACTATGTGATTGTCAACATTCACTGGAGGAAGTCAACAACCACCCATTTCTGTCATTCACAGTAACATAAATATTACTTACAAAATGAAATTGAACAAAAAATTAAGAATATACCAATGTCATTTACCACCCAGTGAAAATGTGTTCCAGTGAAATTTGTCTTTTTGTGTCTCCTGAAAAGTAACTATTTTTGATTTAAGTAGTTTTAGAAGCACAGTAACGATAATCTGTATTACAAAATTTTGTCGTAACATTTTCCTTTACTTTTTTATACAAAACGTCATGAAAATTCAAAGAACTTATTTTTTAACCTATCAAATCATACATTTCTACCATAGGTAGCCTAAACTGATTTCAACTTGGACCCAAAGATTTTTGTAACGCAATATTAGCCCTTAGTTGGTTATCGTCTGATAACTTTTGCCCCATATGTTAATGCTATTTTATAATTTAAACCAAACTGTATTTTACAGTTATGTTAGTATATTGGGTACTATTCCGTTTCGGGGAGCAGTAAAAATACTATTCAGTACTCAAATAGTATACTAGGTACCTCTAACCACGCTACTAATAGTATCTATTACTATAAACTAGTGGGCTGTGCCCGCTGCTCGCTAACGCTGGCCAATCCCCGAAAATTGCTACGCAATCTCATATGATTTGCTTCGCAAATCAAGCTCGATACTAATTTAGGTACATTGCAAATGCACATAATTCTAAGAATTCAAAACAATCATTCAAATCCATATAACAACTTTTTTTTTAAAAAAAATTACATCTTTTTAGTAAATACTAAGTCATTAAAATAAATTTGAATTCAAATAAAGACTCATTGACTGAGACTCATTTTTCAATGAATAACTAATAACAATAATAAAACAAACAAATTCGTGATATAAATCAAAAATCGTCAAATAAATTCGTAATATATGAATTCGTGAAAAAAAGCGCTTTCGACAAAATACTAAAATAGAGATCTATCGACAAAGACTACTCACTTCTGCCTAGCTTAATAGTATGAGATTGCCGCAGCTGAATTGTTATTTCAGTTTCCATTTTTAAAAATAGGATTTGGGATGTCACATTTTTAGCGGCAATCATTGGTCGATTTTCTAGCGTTGCCATTCGGGGAGTTGTAATGAGGCTTTTTTTGTGGCCGTGCAAGACAAATATATATATAGATAATGGACTATCACTGAACGCCAAACTTGTTTAGTTTGGCGCTCTTTTTTCGCCTCTCGAAATAGAATATTAAAGTATATTGTCTATGTAACTTACCAATAGTATAAGGAACAAATAAAGAGCATATTCCACACAGAAGTTTGCATGCAGTGAAGAGTGCTGATTTGGTGTCTACTTCAATATGGTCGGATACAAGGTTCCACACTGCAGTGGATATACCTATCTCGAGAAATCCCAGTGTGGCATAAAATCCTCCAATCCAGTAAATGTTTGGCGACCATAATATCCCTGCCACCACAACTCCATCCAGAATGAAGAGTAAGGCTGACGTGGCGTGAGAACCTTCCAGCAACAGCCTGTCACCCCAGTATTTCACGCTCAGCCTTCCCAGAATGCCACCGAGACCGAAGGCTGGCAGAACGCCTGTAGCGGGAGAGACCAGTCCGTCTATGTGATCATCAAAAATAGTGAGCAGCGTCACCAGTGTCACTTCGTGTATGACAAAAGCGTAAATGACGACGAGGCACGTTGGCTTGAAAATCTTTTTCAAAGAACTCATCGTCTGACTCTTTTGCTGCCCGACTGCAGCGGAACTGAGTGCTGCGTCGTTGTTTCTGCTCGGCGAGTCGACTGCTAGTTCGTCGTCTTCGGATATCAAATACATATTGGGAGATGGGTTGCTCGAACGCCCATACAGGTTAGAAGGTTTGCTGTATTTTTTCGAAAAATTAGGTGAAGAGAAGTTAATGTTGTTGTATTGGCTGGTAATCAGAGAATTCGAATGCCTCCTGTAACCGCCTTTTTTAATGTTTGGCACGCTTTGGGTAAGCAGTCTTCCATCTCTTACATCGTCCTCTGTAAATGTACATTCAACAACATGAACCTTAATCTCTAAAGGGTAACTATTGCTTAATGGCGTCTTCACCACCAGAAAATCGCCTTGATGAGTACTGGTGTGAATTCTAGGTGTATCGCTTTCCTTATTCCTAAGAATACCGTTATTCGGTAGATTGGTTGTTGAGTCTATCAAAAGGGCGTTATGTAATTTCTCAGCAGCAGCCCCAGTGTCGTGTTCATCATCATTCGAAAAAGCCTTATTAGAAAATGAATTCACGCTTGGTAAGGGATTGATTCTTATGGTTGCTTTTCTGCTCCTGCACGAGATAGTGTCATCAGATGCTGTGTTCCTGCAACCACTGCAATTTTGGTTTCTTAGAGCGCTTGAATTCAGTTCAAACAAAACATCTTCTTCGCTGAAATCTTTCTCGTGCGCAGCTCCACCTTTGGGCACTAATCCCGTATTTTTTCTGGACGGGATCTGAATTTCTTTGTTTGCTTCCTGTATTGGCAACAGATTGGAATTCTTATGTGGAAGAGTAGTCTTACGAGAAATGGAATTCTTTTCAACAATGCACGAATCTGGCTGAGCAGGCATTGAAGAAGTCTCCATTTCAAAACATTCATTGTCCTCCGAAGTTTTTTGACTCTCGATGTCGTTTATTTCGTATTTTTTCCGTATCCTCCACAGCTGGAACCGAATCCTGTAGGATGCCACCATGATGAATGGGGCGGCATTCATTGCAATTCCAGACAGAATGAGAAGGCAACCGCAGAGTCCGTAGCAGGAGAGGAGGAACTGTATGAAATAGGGGAGAAGAATGCAGGCAAAACTAGGTGCAGCGCAGCATATAAGGAAAAGAAATGGCTGAGTTCGAAACTTCTGAGACACTTTTAGAGGTTCTGGAGAAGATATGCCGATTCCAGCTCCTGAAAACAAAATAGTGTATGATGCTTAGTTTTGAAAAGGAAATTTTCGGTATTGTTCTTAATAAGGAAACTCCTGTATTAAGCATTGGGATAAACATGCCAACTAAAACTAGTACGTATTAGCAGTACATGGCGTTTAAAACAACAAAAGCCTAGCTCAATGTTAAGGATACTCTAACAATTGGGTGTAGTATTCGTCTCCACTGTGTTCGATGCAAGTTTGGGAATTGGCTAGTTTTTTTCTGAAATTCGATCTTGGCCACCTCACCTGAGTTTCTTCAGTACTGCGAAATTATCTGTGAATCAACTGGTGTGTATGTTATGACAGTACCGTCTTTACGGGCGCACTTGAGAATATTACTTTTTATGTATTGTATGAAAAAAAAACAAAGAGCAAATGCATTGCATTATATATTTTTTAAATTAAATATATTCTCGTGTAAAAAATGTGCATTTTTTCCATAAATAGTAATTGATTATCATGCAAACACAAACAATTTGAATAGTTTATCACCAGGAAAATTTAAAAAGTCAGCTGAAATCTATTTTACTACTTTAAAATGAAGTTATTAAATGGAGTTTTTTTGGGGTGATAAAAATGTGCTTGTTAAAATGATAGCATCATATCTTAAAAATGTTTATGTATGCGAAGTTGATTTTAAACAGTATGATATGTTACCAAAACATTTCTGTGCCCTGCTTGCTTTTAAGACGGCCCTATGTTAGCAGTATCTCTTACCTTATTCCCAAGCAGGGCTTAGCATTCGCCATCTCACCAAATGCGATAAAATTGTAAATTCGGCGAAAAAAATGGTGAATGATTTTTCTTTTGCCATAAAGAAAAATATACATTCCCCTCAATCCTGAAAGAAAATAAATAAATAAAAAGGTCAAGGGGAATTTTTCTGAAGAAATCCTGTATTTTTTCTTCGGTAAGTTCCGTTAGATACGTCGCATAACCAATTAGAATTATATTAAATCCAGGTAATGTAAGTAACAAGAGAGATTATGTAAGCATGAGACAAATCATAAAATGCACATCATCACGTTCGTTGCATGATCTCGTGATATCGCTCAAAAAAATTATCTATCTATATTATATAAAACGCTAATACGTACGTATGTATGTATGTATCAATAAAACCGATGATATTTCTTTTCTCGCGCTGGCAACAGTTTTCATTTTTAATTGATTGGATTCGGCGCGCAAGAGCACGTAGTGAGCAACCAGATAACAATAACCAGAGTGAGCATTATCAGGTTGTTCAATTCAGATTCATGCACTAAAAACATGACAATATTTAATTTAAACTCAATTAGGAATTAATTAATTAATTGAAGTGAGAATGCTTTAAAAGGCCGCTGTTGAATTGATATTTTTCTACTGGGAGCTACCTAAACGTCTAAAAAACGTTTAAGTGTTTGTATTGAATGCATTGAATTTTTTTATATTTCGCGTTTATTTATGCATTGAATTTTCACGCTTTAAAATGCAGAATATTAGTGAAGCAATATTTGATAATTTATTTTGCTAATATGTTTCTTATTTAGCTAATGTTTTGATTTTTTCACCATGTACAATCTAAATAGCTAATATACTTTTTTAAAAGCCAATAAGAACATTGGTAGAATTCTTCTACATAAGTACAATACTATGTCTTTGATGATAAAATACTATGTCTTTGATGATAATATATTATGTCTTTGTGCTAGAACATTGTGTTCATTGGCGAGCGAGCGCAGCGAGCCATGGTTCACGGCGTGAACCACATAGGATTGCGTAGCAATTCTCGGGGGTTGGCGAGCGTAAGCGAGCAGGGGGCGGAGCCTCCTAGTTTATTATTATTTCTCCTGCAGTTTGAGTCAATAAAATAGATTATGTAATAACAAATGCATATTATCATTCAAATATTTTTGCAGAAAATATTTTTTCTTATGCCACTAGCATATACAATAACGTGATAATAACATTATGCTGTCTAAGGTTTATCCTTATATTACTGCTTCAGTCTAAGAAACTATTAAATATTAACTCCAATCTATTCCTATCTCTTTCCCTCAAAGACTATAAAACATTTTCATTTTTCATCCTCTCTCCCATTCATTGCTCGTCCCGCAGTGGACTGGTCGTAAAAACACGCTTCCCTGCGGAACACCAAAGTCAAGCATCACTGTCTGCTGTCAGTGTGCAGGAGGGTGACCATTTGGATCATTCTACGAAGGGAGCTCGGGTAGGCGACATTAGTCCTCATTAAGTGCTCGACTTCACGTGCAAGTCGTCGGGCTGACGAAACGAGGGTACCATCTCCTCTGCAGAGGATCAAAACTGTGATGGCATGTCTTCGAATCATCCTCTGGGATGTTTCCCAAACCTTTGCCAATAGCCAATTGTGCATATCTAGTGCGACGTAAATAAAGTACCTACCATACCCATCCATTGCTTCGAATTTACATTTTATATACTTTTGATATTTGGCTAATTTACTGGCTAATCATTTGAAATCCTTAACGCGGGTCCTGCTAAAAGTTCCATCATTTGGTAGATTGTTTTTATATTTTACCCGACTCTAACAAGACCCCTTATTCAACTTCTAGTCGTTACAAGTTAAGCGACTCCTTACCAAATATGATTCCCCAACAGATGGTCATCCAGATGAAGTCACTGCTGATGTAGGAGAGGGCTGTTCCAAGAATTCCCAGGAAGATTCCGCACTGGAGCGAGTTTTCCACACTTTGATTCCGAAGGAAATCTTTGAATACTACACCTAACAGAAAAAACATTCATTAATACATTATATCTGCAACTCATATGTTTTGTAAATCATACACACCTTTGGTGTAACTATCGGTGTGGGTTGTACGCGAAATGGATCTTCAACCTGCAACACTGGAGTCACCATCGGTGTGAGCTGTAAATTCAATGGATCTTCAACCTACAGCACTGGGTTCGGCAAGACCAGTGAACACCTTCGACAACCTAATCGACTATCTTTCTGCGTGTCTCATATCTCTTAAAAGGGGTGGCTATTTTGACATGTTTATTTGTTTATAACCGTCGTTGAACAGCCGGTCCAGTTTTTTTGATTTAGGACGACGAATGTTTAACTTCGTAGCCTTGTAATTTTGTCTTCGTGGAGGACTTTTTGATGGAACTAACCCACATTTGCGTTACATGGAGAGGGAAACCTTCCACGGTTAGCCTGACGGTAAGGGGACTCTAATCCATGATACGTTTACCACTGAGGATACTGATGTCCTCAGAATTCTCAGTGGTAGACGTATCATGGTACAAGCTGCATGGGTCGGTGCAAGCTGCATGGGAATTCGTATCGACCATCGCTGGGATTCAAACTCAGTTCACCTCAATGGAAGGGTTAACGCTCAATGCCCGAGTCATCACAGCTCTTTTTTGGCAGGTGGTAACATTAATGTGACTGAACCGTGTATAAGACTCTGTTAAATTTGATGATTGATTTTGCCTCCTAGGGTGTATTGCATCACCTGCCATCTCAAAACCTCTAGCTAAGCTGATATGTTTATTTTGGATAGGGCTGCCATCACACAAGTTTATAGGGTATTAAGTTTATATTGGTATATAGTTCCAGAATAAAACTATATATTCCACAAAAACAAATTGAAAGAATTTCTGTAGCATCCACCGTGTAAAAGGGGGGGGGGCAACCACAGTTTAAATCAATGTTTACAAATTTCGAAGTGGGTTAAATTTAATTGGTGGAATCGAAGTTCCTTGCATGTAGCCTAAGAGTTGGATAGAAGTAATTTCTGACTCTTTCTGAAGGCTTCCATGTTCCTTACCTTCAGTTAACGCGTCGAATGAAGGTCGTTTAAGATAAGATAACGAACAGATTCTTAAAAAACAGATTCTGCATATCTTAATTTTAAAATAGTATTCCCTAATGTATATATTACCATAAGCTTGAATAATCCTTTAATTCATATACAGTGAAATCCAGTAGTCACTTCCTAAGGGACAACCAAGTATCAACAAACACAGTTTTTTCAACTTTAAATTAAATTCAAATTTAAGGTGGCAACGCTAATATGAAAAATCTTTTTTAATAAATATTTTTTGAGCCACGATGGCTCAGGGGATTGACCGTTCTCCTTCCAATAATGTGAACCGGGTTCGAATCCCAGTGATAGCTGGTGGATACGAATACCACAGTCGGCTTGTGAAATACGTGAAATATCTTCATTAGATAATAGAGATGATAGATAAATAGAGTCCCCTTGCTGCCAACCTAACCGTGGGAGATTCTCATGGTCTTCCCCTCCATGTAACGCAAATGCTGGGTTGCTCCATCAAAAAGTCCTCCACGAAGGTAAATTTCTCACAGCACTTGATCCAGGAGTTCTCTTGTTTTCTGGATTGGGTTCAAAATTACAAGGCTACCGTGTTGAATATTAGTAGTCGAAAAACCAAAAATTGGGTCAGCTGATCAACGACGGTTATAAAATAAAATAATATATATANCTAATTTCTATACTACTATTAATGTCTGATAATTTCTTTTTATGTTGTTTAATACCTTACTATGTGTTGTATATTGTGGGTAAGTTTCATAAAATTCCATGTGTAATTTCTTGAGTTATCACGATTTTTGTGAATTTTCCTTAATTTATGATAACCAGTGTATATATATAGCAACTTTTTCGACATTTTTTTCACCTTAATTTTTTTTGTTGTTGAAGATTTTATGCAAATTTGAAAGTTATAAATTATTATGATAATTCTTTTTCTTTTATGAAGTATTTTTTTCTCAATTTTTTTTTGCTGATTCGATGATTTTTTTTTTAACGTATAAACTGTTTTAAGGGGGCGCCAAAATTGCTTACATCAATAACATTTACAATGTTTGTTTTTTTTCGCTTGCATTTTCTTTTAAAATTAAAATCAAATTTGGAGTACCGAAATTATAATGATAGATTTCTTTTCCAGTATTTTTTTGATGAAATATAGTTCTCTTTTGCTTATAAATTGATTATAGGGGTCAGAGAAATTACTAATATCAACAACTTCTACAGTGTTTTTTGATTTCTCAATTTTTTTAAAAAATAAATGCAAATTGAGGGACACCCAAATTATTATGACAAATCTCTTTTGCCACGTTTTTTTGTTGATTAAATATGTTCCTTTCTGGTTTATTTTTCAATTTCAGAGGGAGGAAAAAGTCGCAAAATTCTACTACAACAATATTTCCCACCTCCCACTTTTTATTTTTTTCATGCATTTTGTAAACGCTCTGTTTAAATATATTATTGAAGCTTAACGATTAAAACTAAATTATTTTGATTGCAATAAATAAAGAAGACATTTTGGTATGAAAATATTTTCTTGTGCTGCACTTTTTACCATGCTACTTTCGTATGCTACTTTTTACCATACTTCTGCTAGAGAAAATTGTGAGAGCAGGTTATAATTTACTGGGAAGCATTTTAGTTAATTTTTGTTTTAATTTTCTTTTTTTTTTTAATTTGAACGCGTGCATTATTTTCTTCAATGAAAAGTAATTGATCCCACTTTTACGTGTTTTTCGTAGTAATGGAATGCCTGCAAGTGACGTAGTGCGGGTATCTCGATCCCGATTGGTTGTTGATACGTGGCGTTTGTTTACGTTACCAACTGTTCTTCCCATTCTACTTCGAGTAAGCTAAGCCCATCAATTATCTTGAGTGAAACATTCTATATTCTTTCACAAAGATTTCAATTCTTTCACTATATATTTACACAGAGACTTAACACAAAGACAGGCGCGAAGCCATGTGAAACTTAAGAAAACTAATTATGCATCAAAGTTGCCAGGTACACAAAACTAAAATATATCACGGTTACAATAAAATACATATACAAATAATAAATCTAAGTTAAGTAAAAAAAGTAGTCGAGAAAGAATTATATTGCAACACATTCGATCTGCGATACAGTTCTATATTTAATTAACTTATCCGTTAATTAACATTTTAACTTATGTATAGAAACTTAGCTCAACTTTAATACGCCATTTTGCTGATTAATATTAGCTGGCGCAGGCGTCATAGGTCACATGTGTAGGTATAGGAGGTCTTCTTCTTTTTGAAGTGGAAGTACCCTATTATATTAAATCAATTTATTTATCTAATCTGTTTATCAAGTTAAGGGCCTTAAAATGTATGCGTTGTTTATTTATTTGTTTATTGTATTTCAAAAAGTAATCGTATAATGTTAACTTACTATACAACACTTTATGAAAACTGTAATTAGTTTTAGTTTTACACTTACGGTAAATGAGGCTAATTTCTTTTAATGGTTTTCTTGCTTTTAAACATAAATTGTTTGTGAAATATTTTTCAGCTTAAAGCTTAAGAAGCTAGTCAAAAATTCTAAAGTCGGGTCATTAGTTCAGTAAACGCATGAAAATAAATTAGTGAATTATAGTAACTATATTAACTTTGAAATCAATATTAAGAACTAGCCACCCTTAGCGATTAGATTCGTCACCTTTCAAAATTATTTTGTACAGCACTATAAACTTTAACAGCTTTCTTTAAAAAAATTTTGGTAGAAAAAATTCAAAAAATGAACATATTTTTTTTATTTCATTAATAAATACAGGGAGCTAAAAGAAAACATACTACACAAGTTTTAAGCTGAAATTTATTTTTTTTATGTGTAAAACACATCTAATTTATCATTAGTTGTTTTATCCCGAGTTATATCGGGCAAATGAAAAAAAGTTCATCAACCTCTCCTCCAATTCTAACACCTCCAATTTAGTTTTAAACAATTATATTAACCAAATTTTTTTTTTACCGTCTAGCTGTTACTCGTCGCTTTATCCTAGTGGAAGTACTTGGATTTAAATTTTATCTATTTTCAAGAGATGTTGGCTATTTTGTCAAGGCTCTTTATGTATTAAATTTTAGTAATAATTGAAAATTTGACCGACAACTATTAAATCAAACAAGCATGAGTTCGGAACATTTCAGTTTATTAAGGATGTTCCATGATTATTTCCATCTCTGTTGTCAGATATCATAGAAAAATCATCCAAATGCATTAAAACAATTATTTTTATGTTAAGCCTAAAATAGTTAAAAGNACAATTATATTAACCAAATTTTTTTTTTACCGTCTAGCTGTTACTCGTCGCTTTATCCTAGTGGAAGTACTTGGATTTAAATTTTAACTATTTTCAAGAGATGTTGGCTATTTTGTCAAGGCTCTTTATGTATTAAATTTTAGTTATAATTCAAAATTTGACCGACAACTATTAAATTAAACAGTCCAGCTTAAACATGAGTTCGGAACATTTCAGTTCCTGATGTTCCATGATTATTTTTATCTCTGTAGTCAGATATCATAGAAAAATCATCCAAATGCTCCAGAAATTAAAACAATTATTTTTACTTTTATTTTAAGCCTAAAAAAGTTAAAAGACTGCAAAAAAAAGAAACAATAGATTTAAATAATTATTAGAAAACTAAATAAGCATTTTAGCATGGAAACATTTAGAACTCCATCATGTGATTAGCCCCATGATGAATTAAATATTTGTTCTTGTCAAAGACTATGAAATTAAAATAATTTTCCGTGTTAGGTATGTATACTTTATCATTTATAACTTTTAATATATAATTTATCATTTCGTGACATTTCTAACTGATGCCTTTGAATCTCTTCTATTAAATGCAATCGATAAAGGTGATCGAGTAAATAATTAAATTTAAAAACAGAAACGGGTTATGAATAAAATGATGTCCATTACGAGTGGGCTTTTTCTCTTAGCTCGGTGGGAGGGTATTTTAAAGCGAATGTCAATAGAGGCCTGTCCCGCAGTGCACTGATCGTTATGATACGGCTCCCAACAGGTCACCGAAGTCAAGCATCACTGGCTGCGGTCAGTGTGCCAGTGCGTGACCACTTGAATCAGTCTGCGCAGAGTCCGAGAATGTGCGGTATGGGTCCTTGTTAAACTGATGTAACTTAAAGTGCTCGACTTCGTCGTGTGCAGGTTGACTAACTACCAAAGCAGGGGAGCCTTCCTCGCTGCAGAGAATAAAAATTGCCATGGCATGTCTTCGAATCATCCTCAGGGATGTTTCCCAGACCGTCGCCTATAGCCGCTCTTGTGCAGTTCTAGTGCAACGTAAATAAAGTACCTACCAAAATTAATTTCGATACTTTTTTTTCAAATTTTTAATCAAGAACCAAAATTTAAATAATAAAAATGAAAATGCAAGAAAAATTAATAAACAAATAGAAAAGTTAAATTAAGTAAGGACCAAAATTGTGATGGCAATTCTTCGGATTATCCTCAGGGATGCTTCCCAAATCGTCGCCAATAGCCCCTTGTGCGACGTAAATGAACTACTACAACAACAACAACAATAGAGACTTACTTACGATATATGCTGTAGCACGAGCTACAACAAAAGGGACTGCTGCTTTCTGTCTACTGTCTTCTGATTGGTCCAAAGTCCACGAAAAGAAAATTCCAGAGCACCGTTGAATCCCCTCCATCACAAATGAAGTGGCGAAACAAGCCACAGAAGTGGCGTGATTAGTTTGATGGGTCATATTGGTTTTTAATTGAAATGAAGTCGATGGCTATTCTACTTGAAAAAGAAAGAAATGTTTTGTTCGCTTGTTTCCATTTGAATCCCTATTGCGCAACCTCACTGTAAATTTTCTGTTGTGTTTATGCGATAAATATTAAAATTTAGTACTTCTTAACAACCTTCGCTGATTTGATAAGATTGTACAGGTGGATATGACGTTTACAGTTTCGCAAACCATCCCCATATTAACATGGAAAGTTGACAATCTATCTAATGGTATTTTATCTTTCTGCATTCCTTATTATTAAAGTAAACGGTATGAGCCCTGTCAGGTTCTTTTTTTTCGGGGGGGGGGGCTTACTGGTGAAAAATGGACATCAGATGGTGCTATTATCCATAACTTTTGAGAAGTCATTCATACGGGCATTTTACTGAATATAAATGTATTTTTTAGCATATTTATTTAACTAATCATTTTATAACCGTCGTTATACAGCCAACCCAATTTTTGGGTTTACGACTACTAATGTTCAATTCCGTAACCTTGTAATTTAGAAGCCAAAGGAGCTCTTATATCAAGTACTGGGAGAAATTTGCCTCAGTGGAGGACGTTTTGAAGGAACTATCACGCCTTTGCGTTACATAGAGATAAAAACAATGAAAACCAAACAAAGTTAGCCTGAAGGCAGGCAAGAAACTCCAACTGGGAGCCATCGCTGGGATTCGAACCCGGTTCACCGCATTGGAAGGCGAACACTCTATCCCCTGAGCCACCACGGCTCCAATTAATCACTTGATGTCAATTTATTAGTTTGTGATATATTCTTCTGTTTTTACTCAGGATGCTGTTTGGATTATTAAGAACATTACCATTGGTAAAACTCTTTCATAGTAAAGATTCTTTAGTGTAACTCAACGCCAAAAAGGGTGGCAACTACGCCAAAATAGTATATTGAAGCACCGTACGTCATTCTTAGATCTGGATGTTTCACTACACCGATAATTTTCTTTTACACTATTCGGTGTAAAGAAGCGGCAACCATTTTTGTTACTTAGTAGCACTCATTTCAATAAGATAAGGTACACTTCAGAGTGACGTAAGAGTGCTATGTATTGACGAGACAATATAGAGCAAATATCATAAATTTAGGATGCATAAATACAATATTTCTGAGATAAAATTGGTTTGTTAATCAGACATGTGCAGTGAATAGAAGTAGGTACTTTTATTTACGTCGCACTAGAGTTGCGCAATGGGCCATTCGCGACGGTTTGGTAAACATCCCTTAGAATAATCCGAAGGCATGCCATCGCAGTTTCAATCCTCTGTAGAGGGGATGGCTCCCCTGCTTTGGTTACCAGACGACCTGCGCGCGAAGTCGACAACTTTATGGTAGAATAGTTAAACGAGGACCGATATCGCCCCCCCCCGGTCCCTGCGCAGTCAGGCTGATCAAAGTGTTCACCCACCCGCTAACTGACGGCAGCCAGTGAAGTTTGACTTCGGTGTTCTACTGGGAAACGTGTCTTCACGCCGGACACGCAGAGCATAGAAAGAATATTGATAAGAATTCGAACTAGGCTTAATAAGATCAATGCAGACAGATATTAAATATTATAAAATTACGAAGTTTGTTAATTGCAATGTTATTTGGCATTTTTAATGGATATTAAATATACCAATATCTGTATTAAATCCTGTGAAAATAGGCTTTTTATGGCCAACCGAAAGGAATAAATACCGGAAGGAATTTTTGAAATAGTAATTTTGGCCTATCGACTACGGTTAAGCCTTGAGTAATAGTACTATGACAGATGATACAGTTTATTATTTGATAATCGTAGTGCATGATACGGTACGGAAATGATACGGCTAATCTCTATTTTGATGGGATGAACTTCTAAAAACATGTTTACAAAGAATCGTAATAAATAAAATAAAAATTAAAATTATTTTATTTTAACTCATTGTATTGACATGGATGGTTGACTGACTTAATGTATACAATAACAAGCTTCCTAATGTCGGAGGAAATTTAGAAAACTTTCGGTGTATCCCTCCGCTTATTTTACGCTTACGAGGCTATGTGTGAACAGGCTTAATATTCTAGGAAGTTTTTATATTGTGATGTATGTTTAAATTTACGCGTCATTTTAACATTCATGAGAGGTTTCTGTGATTTATAAATTCTAACAAGCCAAGCGCCTAAAACAAAATTAATATCACGGAATAAATAACGTGTATGGTGTTAGCCATGTTTTGAGTGTTACCTATTATTCGGCTATATTTGTGTAAAATAACACCGTTTGTTATTTTTTGAGTAGCATCATAGCATGCTTTGCGGAGTCTTCCAAATTCATTTGTTGTTTGTTTTGTTGAGATAGTTAGATTGAAAGAATGCGCTATATTGTAAACACTACAAGTATTCGTTTCTCAGTATTATGGCATAATTTCTGATGAATCAAATCTCTTTGGCGATTAATCGAAAATAAATTTTATTTTGGATAATGGTGATAGCGGACTGCGCTAATAGTTTTCTAAATCCTAGTGAACTGCGCATTCAAAGCAACCCTAGTTGCCATCCCTCCTCCTTCAGTTATTCAGTTCTCTAAATTGAACATTTTCTGGTGGGATCGCGGTCTTACCAACAATGTTCGCCAGAAGTTAAAATATAGTGAAGGAGATACGTCAATGAGTAATCCCCATTTTTTCGTCAATTATGCAATTTTCAACTAATAGCAATTTTTTATTGCAATTTTTAATAGACTTGTGATAATTATAAATATATTGTGGGTATATTTATAATTATCAATTATTCATAGTAATTTTTATAGACTTTTGATAATTATAAATATACTATGAGTATATTTATAATTATAAATTTTTATAGTAATTTTTTATAGATTTTTGATAATTATAAATATACTATGGGTATATTTATAATTATCAATTATTTATAGTAATTTTTATAGACTTTCGATAATTATAAGTAAACTATGAGTATATTTATAATTATCAATTATTTATAGTAATTTTTTTAGACTTTCGATAATTATAAATATACTATGGGTATATTTATAATAATAAATTTTTTATAGTAATTTTTTAGACTTTTGATAATTATAAATATACTATGCGTATATCGATAATTAGTGTTGTGCTATTATCTAAAGCATACCACTTAAAGTGACCACTTTTTAAAATAGGTTTTAATTTTTCAAAAATTTCAAATATTAAACGGTTAAATAAACAATTGCAATTAATAATTAAACGCAATCCTTTTAAAGAATTTCTGATAATATGATAAATAAAGGTTCGTTTTTGAAACGAAGAAAAATTTTTAAAAACAGAGGAGAATTAACAATTCCATGTTCGAAGAAAACAAATATAATAAAATGCATACAGTGTGTATTTTCGATTTAAAAAAAAGGGTGATCGGTAAGCAATTAGTAGACAATTTAATCGCAATTTGTTAGATACCAATTATTTTGCCCTATACCATTTCTTTAAATAACAGTTGTCTGTTATCGGAAAATAGGTCCTATTTATTTTTAACTCAATTCTCAAACGTCCTTAAATTCTTTAAATATGAAAAAAAAATTATCTTCAAACAAAAGGATTGTGCTCAACTGATTGTGTCATAATAATGGAATATGAATTCAAATCTTTAAAGGAAATAAATGTGTGAATTCTGTTAAGCGTTCGAGAAAACTGCCAGCTTTAATCCAGATTTACAGCTTCCTCTCAACAGAATTTGTACATGAATCATTTTTCAAAATGTTTTATTTATTCGCATTCAGAAGTCGAGGTGAAATTTATGATACTCTGAATCGTCAGTGCGTCATACTTTATGGAAAACCTTTTCTTTCTCTCTTTAGATTAGAGCTCTTTTAAAATAGATAGAATCACGGGAAATAAAATTATTTTTATCTCTAAGCAGCCTATACATGCTAACTCAAGTTTTTAAACTCAAGTTCTTTTAGTTATACAGTCAAACCCCGCTATAGTGAACATGGTTTAAAATGGTGAACTTCCGGATATAGTGAACAAAATATTCGCTCCCTCGCCCTTTTTTGTGGATATAGTGAACCAAACGAAGAGATGAAATTGGTTATTATGAACTTTTTTTACCTTCATTTTTTGGTAATTTTGAAATTTCTACATAAAATATATACACCGATTTTTAAAACCATCTATCTACTGAGAGGAATGTTGCCGTATTTTTCTTGTTTACTTCTGCTATCTCAGTTTCCATCTCTAAATAAAGGCCATCTCTAAATTTCTTGGTACGTAAGAGGAAGTGTAATAAGAAATAAAAGTTAACACATTTTTTGTTACTACATATTGTTTTTCAATCATTTTTGTATTTCTTTTTATGGGTCATTTATTTAAACAATGTGTCATAGAAGGAAGTAGTTCGGGAAAATGCGTAAAAATTGTTTGCAGTTCGGATATAGTGAACTCCCGGTTATAGTGAACTGAAATTTCGGTCCCTTGAAGGTTCATTTTAACGGGGTTCGACTGCATTCTTTTAACTATGGTTTTGATCCCGAATTCCACTATGGATCTCCGCCTCCCGATCGCTGTCGCTCGCCGACTCCCGGTTCTTTTTCAGATTGCCTCGCAATCTTCCGTCACTGTTGACTTTCGCATGTATTTCGGAAAAAAAATTATTTTGTTTTAAAATACGCTATAAATGTTTTTTAAAAATATGTTTCAATAATGATGATATCAACAATATTGTGATATATTCTAGTCGATCGTTTGTAATATAGTTTACAAAAAATCATGCAATTTGGAATAATTAACTTTTAAAGAATAGTAATAAAGGAATAATATAAATTTAAAAAAAAAAACGAATTGGAAATAGGGTGTGTGAAAGTGTTTACTTTTAAATTTCATAATATAATGGGTGTCTGGTAATAAAAAGTTGATTAAATATACGTTGTTGTTGTCGGTCATTTAGATAGATTAGGTGCGATGGTTTTCTAGTGGAGCCATCTATGGCTAAGCATTTGACTTCTGCCACACCCATACGTCACAGCCGTTTAAAGGGCGGGTCCATTCATACATCCATTCATTTATCCGCAGATCGTAATTTTGACCTGAAACAGAAAACGATCCATCTCCAA